CAAAAGGCTCCCAGGAGAAGGCAGGAGAGGATGGCTGCTGCCCGTGGGCTGGGATGTGATGCCAGGCACCGCTCCCTGGGAAGGGCTTGCCCTGGCTGCGGGCTGGGGACCTCCAGTGGGGGTCAGGCATACACCGTGCCCTCAGAGGACAAGGAGGAAAACTGCACTGAGGGAACCCTGGGGGTATTTTCTACACCAGTGGGACACTCCAGCATCGCTCCATCAAGCATACTAACAATTAACCCCACTGACCATCAACAACCTGTAGGTGTGAAGGGCAGCTTCTCCCTGATGAGTTTGGAGTGGTGACCAGAGGGAGGTTACAGATGCACTCACAGCAAGTCAAGGTGCACCAAAACTCCCACGCTGCCCTTCTCATGCTGACAGCAGCAAGGGAGTGTGGGTGCCACAGGGCAACCCCCACTGCAATCCTCCCTGCCTCTCCCAAGAGGTCCTTTGGGTGCCGAAGGATACTTTTGACACCAATGGTGCTGGAGCAGCCAGTAAACCAACAAGTTCTTACTTTCCTCTCCCCCTCACTCACAAATAGTCCCTTATTCCCCACATTAACTCCTCTCTCTGTAGAGCAAAATAAGCGCTCAACAGTTACTTTATCTCCCTTGCACCATCTTATTGCATCCTATGCAGAGCAAGAGTTCCCAGCATCAGTGAAGACTTTGCCCACCGTGGAGATGCGCTCTTGCACACCCACTACTTTTCTGGAGGAAAGAAAAATAAAGGGTTTTCCTTTCTTTGCCCATGGTCCTGGAAGAATTTATACAGGTTTTAATTAATAGGTTTAGGACTGCTAGACATGCCAAGCAATCAAGTAAAGCGAAAGATTCAATCCTAAAAATACAACCCAGGCAGACACAATCCCAAGCGTACCCACTGGGCGTGGGAGAAGGGCCCAGACCCACCTAGCATCCCAAAACCACGGCCCTGAAGAGGAATAAGACTATCCACCCATAAAATGAAGTTTTGTGAGGAAGATCAGGAGAAACCAGGGGGGAGGCAGAACCTGTGATGGCGGGTGTCGCGGACGGCACGGTCACTGGGGATCCTCTCGCTCTCCCGCTGGTTAAAGGCATGGAGCCGGTACGGGTCCTCGCCGCCCTTCCACCTCCGGGCTCTCAGGTACCTCCGCTCTTCAAACTGATCCCAAAGGTCGTCCCAGTCCACGTCTGAGCCCTGTGCGCACAAAGTCAGCCCCGTTAGAGAGAGGAGAGACCAGAGGATGTCTGACCTCGCTCTGGAGGTCCTCCCAAGCCCTGCTGGAGGTCGGCTGGTCCCGCAGCATGGGCAAGCATCGTAAGAGCAGGCTAACAAGGAGCCTCATTAGGTCTTCAGGCTTTGGTTTTTTCCTAGGTCTTCAAACAGCATGTCAAAGAGAGCCTGCCAATTTGAATTTAAAATTACTAATTTGAAACCAAATTCAGGTCTCTGGTGGATCCCCCTCTCAAACAGCATGGTCTCGAGAAATACAAAAGCACAAAGGTCTTGTTAGGGTTTTAATTTCTCTCCAGCCATTTTGCACCATGTGCCCCCTCACCCCTGTAACCCTTCAGGGAGGAAAGAGCCATCAGACAGGAGTAGTTTCATCAAGCACAATTCCACGTTTCCACAGCCATACCCTGGCCCCAGGGCCGGCTCCAGCAACAGAACCCTGGAAGAAGGGGTCCATGGTCCTCCCAACCTGATTTCAGTCCATCTCTGCCACAACAAGTCTCCCACAGAGGACTTCAGCCCTACCACAGGGAAAAGAGGAAGCAAGCATGTGCCCATGCAGGCCACCCCCCCTCTAAAAGGATGGAGGAGCTGCATTTTGGGGTTATCCAACAGCTCTGACAGCTGTTGGGGAGTTTAAGCATCCACTGGTGACTCGGTGCCATCAGGGGGTTTTAGCATCCCTCAGCAGTGTGATGCTGTCAGGGGTTTGAGCATCCCTCAGCGCAGCAGCGCCTGAGCCAGCGAGCACAATGCAGCACCGATAAGATCTCATCGTTACAGCAGCACAACCTCTTTGATCTCAGCCTACGTGTAACACGGAGAGATGCAAACATTTACAGACATCTCAGCCCTAAAGAAAATTGTGATCTTATCCAATAATTGATCTTTTCTTCCTCTTTTCTTTTTTTTTTCCCCCTCCTCAGTTCACACCATCTCAAAGCCGATTTTGCCTGCTAATAGCGCAAAATGAAGCTTTTGAAACAGGTGATTTTTATCCCATAATTGATTTTACTTGCATCTGGCAGCACGCTTTCTCTACTCATAGGAAGGGGAGGAGGGAGCACCGGCTCCCACAAGTGAAACGCAGCAGGACCAAGCCAGGTGCCTCCAACCACACAATGCCCCACACCGCCCTGGGTCACAGCGACACGAGCACCCCCAAAAAGCTGACAGAGCCCAGGGATGCAGGGGGGTCCAGATACAGGGTCGTATTCATCTTCCCCCGGGGTGACCTCGTGGCCTTCACAGGAGCTCCTCCTGCACATACCCCAATGTAGGGAAGATCAGAAGAAACCCCTGAGCCACCAGCCCGACTAGGAGAAAGTTATTCAGGACTGGAAGAAAGTTATTCAAAGCTGGGAGAAAGTTATGAAACCAGTAAGGTCACTGCAGGAAGTTTACAAGGAGGATGTACGTAACCTGCTTGCGGGCTTTCGGGAGGACCGATGTACACAGGGTGATAAATATTGTTTATGTTTTTTCTAAGGCATCTTGCAAAATGTGATTTACTGCTGCAGTAAAAGATCAGGGAAAAGTGAGCCGATTGCATCGCGGAGCCACCGACAGCCTGACGTTTATAAGATTTCATGATGACCCTGGGGGGTTTGGCGCCGTTAAAACAAGCACAGCGCAGTTGCAGTCCCTAAATTTTAATGCTGTGAAGAAAAGTAAAAGTTGGTTTTATCAAACTTAAGAGAAATGGCTTTTAAAAGCAGCCACATAGCACTTAAGGCTGTTGGATGTAGACGTACGTATATTTTTTTAATGTCACCTAAACCCAATAGCCTTGGATCAGCTAGAAGGGTGCAATGGGGCAAGCATCCAGTGGCTCAAGCAGGAGGGCTGGTGAATTCCCACAGGCAGCCGTGGCTCCAGGAAAACCAGAGCTTCTGCACATGCTGCAAGGGCAGTGAGGCTCTGGCCAGGCCAGCAGAAGCAGGGCCCAGTGTGCGGGAGGGTCCTGGCACATGTTCTGAGGTCTGGGACAGCGTTTCCCCAGCATCCATCTATCCCCGCTACCATCCTGGAGAGTCCCAGAGGTAAATGGATGCACAAGCAAATACCAGTGCCCTATCCCATGGAATTTGCTTCTCATCCTGCCCTGGATATACCTTGCACCCAAGGACTGCATTCTTGGTTCACACGACAGTGAATAACTAATAACCCCATGAAATCTCCATCTGAGAGACATCAGACTGCCTTGATTCACCCAGGCACTCCTTTTTCGGTCGAGGAAAGCTATCAGTAGGATGGTTTCTAAATATCACTAGTTAAATACGCATCTGAGATCAATAGCAAATAGATGTCAAATAGAGATTAAAGAGTGATTTTAACCACTACCTGGCCAAAGAGCTTTAGTTATAAAACAAGCCCAAGGATTGGGTTAACTTTCTCAGCCAGAAGAAGGTACCTGGGTTTGGTCATTTGCTTTCAATCCACACCTCCTGTCCAAATCTTCTGAAGACTAGGCATTCTTCAGCTTTCCATCCCAAGCTCCCTGCAAAGGTAACTGAAAGCGATGCTCAGACAGCAGCATGCACCAACCTCTGCAAAAAAAGATACCTGCACAAAGCCGTGAGGGTAAGCAAGGCAGCAGCCTCAGATGAAAAACTCCCAGCTACGCAAGCCGTGGGAGGCAGGAGACCTCCCAACCCGCACACAGGGACTCGCCTGTTCCTCGGCGCCTGATCAGGGACAGGAAAACCGAGTTAAAGCGGAAGGAGAAATCCCCTTCGCTCACCCAGGGACAGCACATCAGGTACGGGTTACTGGATAAGGTCTTCATTATAATATTTCCGCCATGTATTATCACCTTTTCCTCACACCAGAACTCTGTCTTGGGAGTTATTTAACTGATGTGCAGAAATCTAAATTTAATTTATTATGATCTAACTCACTTTAGAAGCCAAATTACCCTGCACTAGAAAAGGATCAAGTCAATACTCCACTTGCCTTTCTATTTATCTTCCACAGGGCTCCTCTCTCAAACTTTCATATTCATTTTCTCTCATGTACTGGTAATAAATTTTCATTTTTTTTCTTGGAATTAGGTAATTTCTCTTTCAACATTGCAGTTTAATGGCCGATATTAATTATAGGAAACACAGTCAATGCTTAAAGAGTTCCAGAGATTCAATGAGTCTGCAGCCAAGAGAGGAAGAAAATATCCAAGGGGTAACTGGCCACTCTCGGCGAACAAGCACTGCCCCTTCTGACGCTGTGTCGGGGGTATCCCCGAGGAGTCAATGAGAGGGGACCCCCTCCCCCAGGCAAGGAGACACGGAGAAAACTCATCATGGAGAAGACCTCCCGTTTCACACTAGCGCCCAGCCAAAAGCAGGGCTCGCCGAAAGCCTTCTCCTTTACCAGCTCCCTAAAAGCACCCCCCAAAAACCACTCGCTAAAGGCACTCCCCGAAAACCATGCACTAAAGGCACCCCCCCAAAACCACCCACCACCTCGCCAGCAAAGGGCAAACGGCAAACCCCCAGAGGAAGCACGGAGGCAGCTTTTCACCACAACTGTACATTAGAGATCGAAAGCCTCTTGGTGTAAAGATGTAATTCGTCATCTGCCTCTTAAATCACAGCTCAGAAACAACAAAAAAAAAAAAGGGAAAAAATAATATTTAAAAAAAAAAAAAGAGGAGTGGTGCTGCGGGGGGAGAGCAGGTCATTAGCAGTAAAACTACAATTTTCTGGCAACTGCTAATGCCTTGTTTATGTGGATTTCTACGAATATGACATTTTAATGGCATAATAATTGTGTGATTACAGTACAGCGGGGATCGCTGGAGCGGGAAGGAGGAACGAGCGACCCAGCCAGCGGCGGCTGCTGCAGGCCCGCAGCATCCCCACAGGATACTCGGCCTCCTCCTGCCTGTCCCCCACAGGCAGCCCCCGGCACCCCTCACTGGCACTGGAGGCCAGAGCAGGCTGGACACCGGGCAGGGGTCCCACACATTCCTTGGTCACCGAGAGGCGGCCTGGCGGGGAAAGGGCATTTCGGGTGAAAAGCCTGGCCCGAGAGGAGCCAGTGGTGGCCAGGGACGGGCAGGTCACGCTGGTCCCCAGGGCCAGCCTCCAGCTGCCCAGGAAGGAAAGAAGTGGGCGGCACGAGCCAAAAGCAGACTCTGGTTCACTTTCTTCTTTCGTGGCACTGTTTTAAAATATAGAGCTTAAGCCTTTGCTAAAATAAAAGCCATTTTCCTTTTGGGGCTGCTGGGTGTTGCCATCAGACCGAGGTGGACCGGACCGGCACCACGAACATCCTTTCAGGAGGCAGCAAACCCAAGGCAGCCCAGCGGGCAGGTAGGGCCGATAGGGTTTGCCAGGGAGCCCCAATTTTTAGGCAAGCAAAGGGGTTTTGCCTGTGCAGGTGCAATGATGACCCCAAGGGAGCCTGGTAGCGGCCAAATCTTCCTCTGCCTCAGCCCCCCTCACACCCAGCTTCCCCTGGAAAACCTCATCCCTACATGATCCCAGATGGAGCACTCACCTCTGAGCCACCATCCTGCCTTCCCTGGGACTCAGGCATTAAAAAAATAGGAGGGGAGGGGGAAATTAAAAAATACCTCAGCCTAGCAAAAGCTCCAATAAACAAGCGAAAACTCCAGAAACTCAAATGCCATTCGG